TTCTGGAAGAGGTCCTCACCACAAAACCCCCATGATTCATTCATCTCCCTACAATCTCCTTGAAAAGGCCTCAGAGTCCCATGAGTTAAGCTCTTTGGGTGGCTCAATGTCCTGTTTCAAACTGAGAAAGAGGTAGTGAGAACGAGGTTCTCGTCGTCTAGTCTTTAGTCCGTCAACAAGCACGTTGCTCAAGGGGCTAAGCCGTAAACCCTGAAGCCGAAACTAGAGGCTGTGGACTTGCACTCTCCAAGTGAAGCTTGAGTTCAAGATGTTGATCGTGGCTATCCCTAAGTCATCATCATAAGCCCTGGATCAAGTGAGCGGGAGAGCCTGCAGAACAGCCCGCAGAGCAACAGCATTTGTGCAGGATTTTGGTGTTAAAGGGTTTGGGCCTTAGGACTGCTTTTTTGTCTTTATTGGCTTCGGGTGAAGGATTGAGTTTACCCAAGACTCAGTTTGCCTGTACTTTGCAGAGCTCCCTACGTCGTTCGATGTGGGTTATCGCCCACGGCAGTTGAAGCAACCCACTTCTCCTGTTCAAATACCGAGATGCCAGGCAGTGTAACCCCAGGCCCTTAGTTGGGTTCCCATGTTTGTTGAGGGTCGGCTCATGTCGGCTCAAAGTTTGATGGCCCTATAACATCCTCAAAGGTAGGATTCTCGAAGCAAGATTTAAGGATCATCTTTGTAGACTCTCTGCAGAACCACAGAGTTTCCAACTATCAAAGCCTAAGTCCAACTCAGGCCGCCACTTTAAGCCCCCAAGCCTAGCGTTTATGTGAGAGGAGGCTGAGGACCAGGAGTGGGACAGCCACGTGGCATGCAGGTTTTTTGGTTTTGGGGTTTGGGCGATTTAGGGTTAGAGTAAGGCTCAGTGCAGTACCTCTGGAATCTGCTAGAAGCCACGAGCCCAGATCGTAGATACGTTCTTTAAAGCTCACAGATAGTATGATCTGAAACCATAGGTAAGCAAAGGGGGTGAGGCCACTGATGGGAAAGGGTAAGACGAAGGTCCGAAAAGGATGACTATAGCAGGATTGCAACCCTGACGGCGCCCAACTCTGCAATTATTGACACTTTAGAGAGGCGACCGAGACACGGCGCCCAAAAAAGAAAGTAAGCAGATTTTTATGGGCATTGACCAAGATTCAGGGACCCAACAGGACAAACACTCATGAGATGTTGTGGGCCCATCCCTGTGATTGCTGCTGTTTTTTTGAGTTTATTTTTGAGATGCAAAGAAGGTTCGAGGACTCTCAGCAAAAAACAACACTCACGAGGATCGCAATCTTGACGGAGAGGATGGGAGGGTCCAAAAGGACGACGGCGAAGAGAATGGTGACTCCAGCCCCCGATCCCTGTCACAGCTGGAATTCCTGACGCGCAGGAAAAGTCCGATGGTCTGAGAAAGTCGCCATAACTGTAAGACGTGATGCGGCTCTATCGGTGTACAGTTGCGAACGGTGCAAACAGGCGAATGCGACCCCTTTTGCTAGACCTTCGACAGTCAAACGGAAGACTTTTTCGCATGCTTTCGGCCCCCAACGCAGGACTCATGCATCTATTGCAGATCAGATTGTTTCAGGTGAGGGATTTGCTCATCAACGTCGGATCATTTCTATTTTTTCGGCTCGCTAATCATGATCCCTGCAGTCCTGATAGTTTATAAGGCCGAAAAGCACGTGCATATACGTTAAAGACGGACGTACCCGTTGTATGTGTTTCTGTTTTATCATCTTCCGTATCATCTTGGCAGCATCCAGCCACACTAGCTTGAACTGAGTTGAAAAGGTATTCATGATCACGGCATTCACAGCCAATTGGAATCAATTACCCGGCACGTGATTGTGATCGAAAGCCCACACAACACACTTAAGACGAATTAGGGCGAGATAAGAACTTGAAGGCAATGAAGAGGTGATTGCATTGTTTCTTGGAAGTCATCACGAACAGGGCATCAAGGTGCAAGAGAAGTCTTTGCAACTCAAATTCCCAGCTTCTAGGGCGCATTGAAAAGCTGCAGGTCAGAAGGTTTTAGGGGCAACTGCCCGCAAGTATTCCCTGACTCATGGCCAAGACGCCTAGAGTTGCCTGAACCTCGAGTGTGTGTCGCGCCTGAACAATCCTTCCAGGTTGGGGCTTCGAATTCTGGGATCCCTCTTGGGATGCCTGGGGCGAAGACTGGGATGGTTGGTGGGATGGAGACTGGGGACGCTTGGGGCAGCAAAGCGAAATTGCTGCGAGGCTCTATGCTATATTGTGCTTTGATTGTCCCGGAGGCTACACATTGAAATGTTATGTTGGTGTTCACGCAGCAATTCAGAGGTACAGTTTAGAATTTGTAGATGGAGGCCCGTAGTGTTTGCAGCGTCCATTTCATGTTTCTTGAGTGAAGTTTCAGTTTACTGTCTTGGCCTTACCTTATCGGATCCTAAAGGGGGGTGGTTCAAGGGGGAGGTACAAGGAAGCCTTGGGGAACCTTAGGGAAGCTAAGGGAGCATAAGGGAATCATTTTGGGGATTGCCAGGTTACCTACCCCCCTTGCACCACCCCCCCTTAAGGACATCCTAATTACTCGGGTTTGTGGTGGCCTGGTACAAGGCAGACACCGGATCTTGAGACGGCTTCTGCTTCTTACCAAGTACCAAGGCCACGTATCTAAACTTGACATGTTCGTTTGCTTTCGAAAGAAGCATGCATTGGAAAAAATAAGCACCAGCGGATTGAACGACAGAGCACCTACTTCTGCGGCGCACATGGGCTTTGGAGTTGTGAGGGCAGAGATCAGGGACTCAAATTGACCTTCCGGCCTTCAAACTAAGAGTGCCAGGGACTGCAGAACTTTACTTTGAAAACCTTTGGTACTAAGCCCATCTAAGCACTTCCTGAGCCATCTCAGTCTCAAGTCTCAGGATGGCACGCTTGGCCTGCCGAGGAGTGGGCCTTCAGGGTGGTTTGTCGGTGACCGAGGACCTTGGAGATTTGGATTTTGGGGCTTCACGGTTTGTAGCCCGCCGACCTAAAGTGGAGCTTTTGGGTGTAGGCTGCCAGGTCCACTTCAGTTTCAAGGTGAGTTCATGGGACTGTTCTTGGGCTGGTTGGAACCAGGAAGCAGTCTTCGCAGGAAGCCTGCCAGCAGCTTGCTTTTCGTAATGGATGGTGGCGCTTCGTTGCCTCAATTTTCTGTCCTCTGGTTGTTAAAAACTGAAACTATACGGCCATCGGTGTATTTCTGCTGCCATGCCATAACATTCCAATAAGCCATCTGGCACCCACTCCCTTAGCCTTCAACCCTCGAACGGCCAGTCATCTTTGAGGAGAGTGCTGCCTGGGCGGCCGAAGCCCCCAAGAAGAAGGTGCGCTGCCGGTCCGGTTAGGTCCGTCTGTATAAGCCTCGAAAGGCCCAGCGAAGTGATTTCGCACATCGTTTGCATTGCCCTGAACAGAAACTCAGGAGATCATGTCTTGTGTGCTTCCCAGGCAGCCCCATATAGGTAGTTGTTCGAACCATTACTCCGGTGGACGCTGGCTGCGATACATCACGCTCAAGCATTGACCTAAGACAGCCCTGTGAGACCCCTGAAGCACAGGCGAGGGGTTTTGTACCCAATTGGTTCTGGCATCTCTCTAAACCCTAAACCCCTTTTGGTTCTACACCCTTTAGGCAAAGAAGGAGCCCGACAAGGTGGAGTCGGCAAATGCAACAAAGGCCTCAAAGGCCGCGAAGCTTGCAAAAGCCAACAACTCAAAGGCCAGCTCCTTCAGGGCTAGGGTTTTCAGGTTTGGCCTTCAGGGTTAACTTGTTAGGCTTGGGTTGAGGCCTCCTAGAGGGTTTTAGGCCTAAGTGGTTGCATGGCAACTTGAGCGCCCATCTAGACGTTGGCGCTGCCCAGCATAATTACTTGCTTTCTTCCCGCCGAAAGAGCACCACAAAGTTTACCTTTCGAGGTCTAGGTGGCTTTCATGGTCAAGTGTTTGGGGATTTGGGGTCAAGAGTCCTGCCTTGGACGCTGCTCATGACTTTGAGATGCAGGCCGGGGTCTAGCCTCGCAACAGATTCAGTTAAGCCTTATCATCCGCTTTCTTGGGCAACTTTGATATGAAGGGCTGCTGCACTCCCATTTGATTTCAAGGTTGAAGGGCTCTGAGCCTGGAATTGTTTCTAGGGATTTGAGGGCTTCGCAAGAAGGCCTGCAAGCGTCAAGCAACATTACAATTCAGCGACTCGTTTGGTGAAACAATCATGTTTGGCCTTCTTGGAGGTGTACATAGCTTGTTAACAGCTGAGCTGAGGGCTTTGAGCCATGTTGCGGGTGCGGTCATTCCGGTCCCAAGCATTGTTCGGTGAAGAGTTTTATGGGTGTGCGGGCCTAGAGCCTTGTTGTTCCGCTTCAGGTATGGCAACTTCGGGTCTGGGGGTTGCCGCGCATAGGTGTCGGCTTCACTGCAGGGCCTGCAGGGTTTTCTACATCAGCTCTGCAGCAATCGGCTCTGTTTGTCCATGTTGAGGACATTGTCTTCTTCCAGGGTATTCACACCCCAAGCCGAAAAGCCAGTGGCGAGCTCAAGATGCGGAGAAGACCCAACATCCACCCATACATACCCCTCCCACCCTTGAACTAATGACCGAAGCCTTTATCACTGCAAAGGCTTCAAACTGAAATTCGAGGCTTAGCCATCCATCCCCAGATACAGCAGCAACGTTGCCCAGAGGGGAACGAAGAGTTTTGTAATCGTAGCTGGGGTCCTCAACTTATTGCTAGTATATAGAATATATAGTCTTGATATTACGGAAGGATCATGACAAGCAGGCTGCATTGGAGAGACCCTGCGGTTGGGCAACATTCAGTTAGACGTCCCCAACAGTTCCCTGATCCCTCAAACATGAAACTCCAGAATCTGCAAAGTGCACCCTGAACCCTCATGTCCGAATCGCAAACCCTGCAGGTCCCCATAGCCATATCCCCCGTAGCCTGCAAAGTAAACCCGAAATGGCTCAGGCTGCGCCAGCTTCCGCCTTGAATTTCAAGTCACCAGGCATGAAGGTGTCAGTTGTCCCACGAGAGCCAAGAGTGGCCAAGTTCGGGGTTTCAGGGTGTGGAACTGAGAACTACCTGTACCAAACCATCCTGCCATGACAGACAACCACAGTTCTGTCTCCCATCCCCCAAGGCCCCACGCCCTTCAGGGTCAGAGTTCTGGCTTGAGCCCTTTACTCCCTGAGCAACAAAACCCGGCTCTTTGTGAAGTCCCGAAATTCCATGAATCCCTTAAGATCCTCCTTGGGACCCTTCCGCGGGTTGTTCATCCTCGGCTGAATCATGCAATCGCACTGTTTTGTTGGTGTTGAAGCCTTGGTAGGAAAATATTTATTCAGTTGTTTGAAGCCTGTCGGGCTGCTTTGTTCTATGGTTGGTCTATGGTTGTATCAGGTATTTGTTCCACGGCAAGGCCAACCGCTGAGTTGATCCGCTCACCCAGACTTTTGCATGTTCAAATGTTGAGGATTAAAGTCTCTTGTTTGTTGTAGCATGTTGAAAGAAATACCTCATATTGCTTGGATCAACCATCAAAGGAAACTACACACATTTCAGCGCTGCTTCCCAGGCTCTCCTTCTCCGGCGTAGTGAACGCCCTCGAGCCAAAGTCTGGAAATCTGCTCATTGACTGTGCGGCGGTCGCCCGGACTGATAAGGGGCTTCATGCTCTAGTTTTTGCTGCTAGATTTGCAGCATGCGCTCCTCCAAAAATGGAATAGATATGTCTCCCCACACATTGCGAGTCAGACCCCAACCGGCTTGAGGACATTCCAGTACCATGGCCCCCGCAGGGCCCCTGTAACCGTAGTATTGCTCCGTGTAGAGGACTGTAAGCGAGCCCAGTAGTATTCGAACGTCTGCCACGACTAACTCGCACCCCTGGCAACTCCGAAAATTATTTTTAATCAGCCGTCAAAGCCAAGATCTTACAACTGGACGAGCAAAACACACAGGGAACATCAAGGAACCAGGTATGTTTGGGCCGAAATATGCCAGCACGCACGAGAAAAGGATGGAGTTGGGGCTGGATGAGCCGGGTGGCAGACAAGGAGCATGACCATTGTTTTGTGCAGGAGGGCTGGAGGAGGGCTGGAGGAGGGCTGGAGGGGGTGCGGGAAGGCGGGTGGCCTTAAACCTGTAAGGGGAAGGGGGCCTGGATACAGCTGATCTTCAAAGAAGGCACAACCTGCGTGTCGTATAGGACGCTTCTGGGTTGTGGTGGTACTGGTAGTACTAGTACGTAATACTCTGAGTTGCTTCTGGTTCTGCTACGCCTAGTACGACTGCAACTGCCACTGTCACTGGTCCTGCAGCTTTTCTTCATGTAGTATTACTATAAGTGCAAGTTGTATGAGTGGCGGCAAGTGGGGTTTCGGAGCCGACACAGGTGAGTCGCCACTTTGGGCGCCCTGCAATGATTGCTCCGAGTGCCAATCCCATGAATGCGCAGGTTGGATTCTTGGCCGGCAAAAGAGACCAGAGGTCAGTGTTACAGGTTTTTTGAGGTGGTGAATGAACGGATCTTCCTCGCAAAGTTGTCTCTTGTATCCCTACAAGGAGTAACATGTCTAACAATATGTACGCCCTGAAATGTACTATTCACTCTGGGCAAAGCTGCATGAGCCTTGATGAAAGCAATTTTTATTTGCATTCGGTCAGCAATGCAGTATGGGTGCGTAAACTGTGGTCCCTTAAACGCTTGCCAAGTCCTTATGATAAGGATAGTCTATGACGGCTACGCAGAGTCAATTTTAGTACATATCCCTGCGAGTTGTTTCACCCTGAACCCTCAATACGAAAACTGAGGAGAACATGGAGAACCACAAAAGCCTTATAAGAAGTGTACCACCGCAGCCGGCAGCGGCGCTAGCAGACCTGCCCCAAGACCTTCTCTATCTGTGTGGTAGGCTTGCAGAGCAAGAACCTTGCTCGTTATCGTGAAAGTTAATTGTCACATATCACAGCGGGGATTTGCGGAGGACCAGAGCCAAAACCAACCAGCCACATGGCAAGTGTCATTCTAGCCTCAGGACCGGAGCCTCAGAAAATGTCTTCCAACGTTTGTCGTCCAAAGTACACAGTATTGCGATTTGCTTTGTGAGTATATTCAAAAAGTTTCCTGGAAGTCTGACTGTCCGGAATCCTGAAGTGTTCCAGCATTATCCTCGACTCCAAGTTGTTGGACATGTGAGTAGTGTTTTATTTGGCTATGCTATCGTCCCATAATAGATTATATCATCCTGTTGGGGTATAGTATGTTATAGAGGGAACATGATCTTACTTGGTTCAACCACCAAAAAGCATTACTCATGTGTGCTGCGTGCGAATGGGCAGTCTTGCTCAAACGGATTCTCGTGCAGAAGGGTCAAGTCGTATAAAGGCCTTCATGGATGTATTCAGCACAGTTGCACCCCGAAGCATCGTCAGTGTGCGGCTGCAGTGACAATAGTTCTCCATTAAGGTCTACCTGAACCTGCAACCGTTTATCTTCGTGACGCCTCGACCCAGAAAGGACCTGCCTAACAGCCAAACCATTCCGTATACAAGGTGTATACACCAGACACAACCCGAAGCTCTGAACCAGCAGACTCTGAGCTTCAACAAAGGCCATACTTGGAGGGTGGCGGTGGAATGCGTCAGTAATTATACGGTGGAATGCAGAAGTAAATATAAGCCTGCCTAACAGTTTGCCCTTTCACTTGTATCTGCAGTGCTCTTAAGTCGCCCCGACCCTCCAAGTAAGCCCTAAACTCAATGCTCAGAAGCCTGAATAGTGAGTCTCATGAGTCGTGCGTCCTCCGATTGTTAATAATACTTCGTATATCGAGATTGCCATTAATTAGCCATAGAAGCTCTAAACGCTTAATCGACCCCACCGAAAGCAGCCGTGCCCCTGCAAAGCCGAGGATCCATCCTGACATTCCGGTTTCCTGGATCGATTTGTTGCGTAACGCGCAGGGTCCTAATGAATCATTGAATCAGTCGTATGGAGTTCAAGTCTAGAACTCCTTGCAGAGTATATAGGGCCTACGTAAATGCATTCACATCTTGCTTTTCGGTCTCCACTGACCTGCAGTTTGGGATTTTCGCCTGGAAATTCGGTGGGATGAGATGGCGAAAGTGTGGATACGCGGAGCCGCCTATACATCTGCAACCTCTTGGGAATGCTCTGGGTGCTCAGAAGATGGGAAGTCCGTCAGAGTGAAGGAATTTTGGGAAACCCGGAGTCTCTCACATTTCTCTTTTTCTCCGGGGTCCACGAGGCGAGAGTCCTAGTGTAGTAGTACTGTCGCAGCAGAGCGTGAGGGGGATCCTGATTTCTGAGCAGCACACGCATATATCAATAAGTAATGTCAAATAAGAGGGTCTATAAAGTCTGACCTTTGAAGCCCTTAGAACCACTTGTTTGATGCCCATGGAGTGTTGGGAGGATGAGAGGGAGGGCTCAGGTAAGTCTTTTTTGTTTTCATTCGAGGTTCCTTTTTTGTGCTTGTCTGGTACCGGCTTCAAAATAGTTGTGGGTTAGATGGTATCCCAATTTTGGGTAAGCTTGCGAGGTTCGGCTTTTGGGACACCTTGCATGTCAGGATCCTTCCTTTACAGGTTCTTTTAGAATTAGCGAAAGCAAGTTTTTTAAACTCAGGCAACCGCAGAGAGAGCCGTACATAAGTAGTGTATGCATGCCGATAGCCTCCCCATAATCCTCTTGATTTCAACTCTCAGTGCGAGATGGTCCTTGCAGCTATCAGGTGATGGACCTCACACATAGCACCTGATACTTGCAATTCCCCTCAGGCATATGAAAGAACTCACTTTTTGCATTCAAGACCTTTGAAGGTTTGAGGCTTGCTGACACCGACAAGGATCCTTCGAAGAGCCTTGCAATAGGTTACCCCACTAAATCCCAAATCCCTAGACCCCTATCTGCAGCTCCATTCGTCTCCCCAAGTTGTAAGCAAAGGGAGACACAGGCAAATCTCCAACATCATCAAGCCCCATGAGTGCAGAGCCCCACACCTGGCCAAAGATTTTGAATTGACGTAGAAGTTTACAGTCCCGAGAAATATGCTTGTGTTGTGGCCCCGGCTACGCCAAAATGGATCCCGAGATGAGGCTAGATCCAAAGAAAGAGCTGCCGATGGCGGAAAATGTGGTGCTCAATGGTTTCGACCAGGTAGGCATTCCGGGTCTGAGGAAAAACAAGATTTAGGGAGCTTTTTGGATTCAGAGTGTTTTGAAGGGTACTGGATTCAAGAGTTGAAGTTTGGGGAGTCACATTTTGAAGGCCGGGATTCGTCGCTCTAAGGGGCTTCAGATCCTCCACACTTTCATGGAGTTTTCCACAGCCTTTGGAGATGTACCCAAGCTTCCGGTGATTTCGTAGCCTTTTGTCTGAAGGTATGCAACATAAGCTTCATGGTCCGGCATTGGGTGTTGGGCTTTGAGGGAAGCATTTGGAATGCGCGGTTCGCGGTATACTTCAAGGGGTCCCTGGCGTTAACAGGCATCTACTGACTTGTAGATGATTGCTGATGGGGACGCATCATACTGCCTACTACCAGGACCCCGCGACTAGGGTGCAGCGGTTCTCAAGGTTTCGGGTGGCCGGCAGTCCATGATTTGGAAACGCCGTCGATGCCGTGAGAATATCGACCCTTGCGCCCTTACGCCTTCAGTTTTCTCGCCTACGTTAGCGCGCGTTCATGGACCTGGGAGCTGCGCAGGGTTTAGGGCTACGTAGCGTAGGACTACAAGGAGTCCTACGGGTGCATAGTAAGCGTAGCATAATGTCTAAACCCAGGGTACTTCAAAGAAGCCCCTGAACTTAAGAAGATTTGATGAACGTCCTTTGGAACCACCAGGTGTTTGAGAATAGCCGGCTATGCTGATAATTGAGAACCAATTCGTAGACAGGGTGCAGCTATGACGTCGAATGTGGGCAATTGCCAATTCTCTTGGGTCTCTCTTGTACCGTACATTCCCAAACATCTTCAAACCCCTCAAGTGTTCCACAAACAATACGACGCATGCAATGATTCCTTTGGCTCCCGTCGGACATACCGAAGGACCACCCAATGCAGTTACTGTGCCCAGCCTCTTTAAGCCCTCTAATAAATCCACCCTAAGGGTCCAGGCACCGAAATGTTGGATTGTGGATACTTGTGAGTGGATGCCAAAACCATTTAGAACAGTGTTGGCATGGGGCATCTCAAGCGCTAGTATTTTGGTAAATGGATGGGGAGGAGAATGCAATCCGCACGCGTTCCTTGAAAGAGTCTTTGCGTACACCCAAAATAAGAAAGAATTTCATCATATCACCACTGGACAAACGAGAAGGAGGTGGGGGACGCATACGAGCGGGTGACCGACGATGGCTTTGGTGGGGCTGGTTTCCTGATGCTTGCCTAGACCAAGGACCCTGGGGTATCAGAGCTTGTTTGATTTGGGATGCCTCAGGAGATAATCCCAGAATCCCAGGTTAGGAATGCCCAGTGCATGAAAGTAGGCGCGTCCAAGGGACTTGTTTTGTGGCCAAGCGCATACTTCACGCACCGCGTATCCCTAACTTAATGCTTTCCAAGGCTGATGCGGGTCATACTTGTGTCTGTCCGAAGCAAGACTTCAAGAGAGTGCAGAAAGCATAAACAAGCAACATAGTAGCACAACGATTCAAATCAACATAGATGCCTCTTGTTTTTGCCCTGGCCGGAGTGCCGAGTTCTAGAAACATTCACAAAACATAAGCATTCAAAGATACGATGTTGTTTGCAATCCCTCCATATATATATACACATGTGTATATCTGGCGTAGATGCGTCCTGTCCGCTTGTTGCATGGCCAACCCAAGCCAAAGCATTCGCACCTGAAAGCAATGCAACAAGCGTATCGACAATCTTGAGGTCAATGGGCCTTTTATGGTTTGACAGCCTTTTCAGATGTTTATGAGGCCGTGCATTTGACACAGGATTCGGTGAGGTGTAAGTCAAAGGTAAGTAGAAAAGCAAAAGTAGCTGCAAAACACCCTAAACACCCTTTGTAAGCTTGTCATGGTTTTGGAGTGCTGCTGTGCTGCACAGCATTTCAAGCCTAGGCTGTCCAAGCTCCTAGCGAGTTCCACGTCCCACATCAGGTTTAGTCTCCCGTACAGCATCCCTCTTCCTTCAGTTCTCACGGGGTCAATTGGACACAAGCGATCATCAAAGAAGCCTCTCAAACGCCCTGAAAGCCACATCACTGTCAGCTATTCACAGGCGTACGCTACTCAGCTCGTGCGTTCATTTGCGGAGCTGCGCGCTGTAGAAGTAAGCAAATTGTAATGGCATTGCCAGTACTTACATCTAGTGTTATTCTCTGTTCACTTATACTGTAACTTGAAACATATGGTATCCAAAGGATCATTCGGATTGCTCAGGTCCCAGCTGTACTTTCGGTACTTTTTTTTTTTGCTAAGGCTCACCCCTGTCTTGGTTTTGCGCTGTGAGCATTTGCGTCGAGCATTGCGTTCAAAAACTGCTTGAGTGGCAGAACTCTTTCACCAAGGGCCCTCCTGCGTGGTGGCGACCAAGGTTTGCAATCTCAAGCCCGCACCCTGTGGCCAAAATCTGAAAAGACCCTATGCCTTGTAATGTCGAATCGTACTAAATGATTGACACCCACTATGCGAAGTCTCTACAAGAAGGATCTCCTATTAGCATACGCTGTGTCAGTTCGCGGGGGAAGGTACTTTGTACACAAGTATTTAGCGTGACTTGGGGAAGCAGGCATCCTACGGTCCCAGGATGTACATTCCAAAGCATGGAACCAGTCAGGCGGTAGCATGTCGAGCGTAGCTTCTGAGCACGGAGGCATCCATCGGTACCCGAAACGAAGCTTTGAGTACGAGAGAAGTCTTGACACATCCCATTCACCAATCTGGCTCTCATTCCATCTCGTGGATGGCTTCTGTTTCACAGGGCTCGGCCCTGGCACTCCCACCACTTTTCATGGCCATCCACTGCATGTGATTGTGAAATGTTAGAGGTCTGCCAATCGCTATGGACGTCTTTGGTGAGCCTGTCTGTGCAAATTCTAGTGCAGGATAAGCATTCGAGGTCGGAAAGCATGATCCCGAGTGCAAGGTCGCTGTGGGAGAGGATTGGGAACTTCAAGCCGAGATCCCACAAGCAACAAGCTACACCACCCTTGTGTACTTGCCCCAAACCTGAGAACAAACATGGAGCTGCAAAGTTAGCGCCAAAGAAGGCTGAAGGATAGCGGTCTTTTTGGTGCTCCTTTGAGGATTCCATGTTTGTTTGGGGGAGTGTGGGATCAGCCGAGGAAGGGAAGCAGCCCAAAAGGCAAGGACAAGGGGAAAGGAGAGAAGGGTAAAGACAAAGGCTGCTGGGTGGGTCTGGAGCGTAGGGTCCCGGAAAGCTTTTGTTGCACCAAAATGGATTGCATTTGAGAAGCTAGCATTGAGTTACAACTTCCTGATTCTAAAATGAGGTTCTTCAAGAACAGCCGGCAAACATACGGGGTAACTCAGCTCAGAGTGATGGGTAATGGGGCGAGCACACCCTGGTCAATGCTTATTGATTTTCCAGGTAGGGTTGGGCGTCAAAGTTGTTTCAAAAAGGAAGCGTATGGCGCCTGGGTCAGCGAAGGATTCTGGCCCACGAGCGATAAGTTTGATCTGGCCATCCGATTCCTTGTGGCCATGTCTTCAGACAGCTAAGACCAAATACGCCAAATACAATCAAATACATGAATCGTCAAGAAGCGCGGGTCTGGGCAGCACGCTGGCAGCCAACGAAAGAGAGTCTACGCAATGGTCATTGCTGCATGAACTTTGGGAACATGACCCGGACCCTGACACAAATTAGCTTCGACATTCCCAGACGAATATTTGCATGTCCATTTCTGAGTCTGAGCCTTGAGCCCTGAAGTCAATGCTCAAACAAACCATGCCATCAGTAGTGAGCTTCAGAAGTTCGTGGTGAGCAGGGCAAGGGCTGAAGCTGCGTCTTAAGCCTCGAGCGCAAAGCAGCCTGCAGCAGAATTGAAATCCTAAACTTGCAGCCAAGGGTCACCATCCCCGAAAGCAACATGCAAGATTAAAACGGAGTCTGAGGAGGGTAGGGCTTCCAGGCTTAACGATGTCAATGCGGTTCAGGGCTCAAGGCCTGCATGTTGAGTTTATGATCTTGGTGTTTAGGAACGCATGCCGATAGGTTCTGGAGGGTTTGTAATTATAAGGCATAGGCATAGATTTGCAGACGTGAATGCGGCATTGGCTTCAAGTGCTTGGTGCCTTTGCACTACTTTGACCTCTCCCTCCTGAGCCTACATGTTCGCCTATCTGTGGTTCAAACTCTCGCCGTTGTTCTGAGACCTTCTATATGCCAATCAGATAGCTAAAATGAAGCGATGGTGTTTTCAGCCCAAAACTTCACATCTTGATTCTTCCGCATTGTTTGCAAAGCATATTTTGACATTTTTATCTATACACATATATATATATATCTATAATATGTGTGTGTTTTTATATATATATATATGTGTGTATATATATGTATATATGCTCACCTTTCAGGCACTATTTGGGGCTTTGGGGCTCTATCCAGCTCTAGCAAACTCTATGAGGGCACTGATGAGGCAGATACTTTCTATGTAGAACTCTGGGAGTTTCAAAACATGGCTTAATTTGCCTACGCGTGAAGGCACCTCCCGAGTTAAATGCCACGCATACTATGCGATGCATTTAAAGTGGTTGTAGTTACCCTGGCAAATGCCGCGCCCGCCAAGTAGGGGCCACCCAGCCCAGACATTAGAATATCGCCTGCTAGAGTGTCCCCCACTCCAGCTGATGCCAACTCGGCAAGGCCGCCAGAGTGTTCCCCGACTCTGGGCGCTGGCCCATCGACCCGTCCCCTACTCTGGCTAAGCATTTCTGGAGAGATCTGATGCCGTCCCGAGTGGGTAGGAGCATGTTCCGAGAGGTTACACGTATGTATAGAGAGTACAAAACTGAGGCATCAAATTATTGCTGAACATTGACAGCCTTAAGTATGGCCCAGGCGTTCATCGATTCCTTCGTTTGGAAGTAACATTCAGCTGCGATGTAATTTGTTTCTAGTCTAAAGCCGGCATGTGTCCTCCCTTTTTCTTTTGAGGTGTTGCCCTCCTTGATGTACACTGCTTCGTCGGAATCCCAACTTCGAGAAAATCTCCACAAGATCATGTTCGCTTGCACGCCACACTTTCGATCAGTCACCTTCCACACATGGCCCATTGGGATATCCAATTCCCCAGATGCCATCAGCTCGCTGCTAGAATTCCAAGGAGCTGGCTACCGCGCTCAAACAATCAAGGTACATGTCTTGCTGTGGAATACAGTGAGTATCCAGCACATAGATTCGGGATGGTGTTAGGGGCATGTACGTGGTCCGCAATATGCGGGACCCTGCAAAAGGCGAAACTCCCGTGGTAACAGGGGGGAGGGAGCTTGCTCCTGACCTCAGACCAGGCTTCATGAAGAGAATTTTCGCTTGTGTTTAGGGCGCACAAGTTACAAGACTTGCCTGCATTCTTCAAGGCTACATCAGCTTTCGAAGCCACGCAACCCCCACTTGAAACTCAGACTTGCGGTCTTGAAGCGGACTTGTGATGATCTTATTCCGCTTCAGGTGGCGGAGGAAGTCCCTACTCTGAACCCTTCCTCAAACGCAAGGATCCAATTTAGCCCTTATGAAAAATGTTCAGCTCCTGTCCTTTATAGAACCCGACCGTGCAGCTGCTTTGTTTCCCAACACCTCCCTGCAAGCCTCCGTCCCAAACCCCTCTGAGTCCCCAAACTTCAAGTTGGTTGTATTTGGAGCGGCGAGTGCAAGAGCAGTTGCACTGATACAATTTATTCTGTCAAACTACCAATCGGGAAACCTTCGACCGCCAGGCAAGGGAAAGAAAGGTCCTCGGGAGCTTGAACTCGTCAACGCCAAAGGCCGGGACTGAACTTCCCAATCTCCTTCATTGAGAGTACCCACTCTTTCAAAGCACAGTCCAGGACTCTAAAAAGAGTTGTTAAAGTGCACAAGTTGGGTGGCAAAAGGGCGTCCCCCGAGGGCTCCTGCTTTCCAGGAACTCTCTCAGGCCCCTAGACGCCAAAGTTTAGCGGCCAAACCCTACCCTTACTAGAGGTTAAAATGCTACCTAACCTCGGACTCTTATTCTCACGCTTCACTCCGTCATGCTCAGACGTGCCATCTGGCTGAGGTTGCAGCTTACGACTGGAGACAGGTCATTCTAATGAAGAAGAATACAAGCTCACCTGTTCAACGTCTAGGTAGAGGAGCCCACTTGCTTAGTCCTTGATCCTCCCGATGGCCCCGAGATGTCCCGAGGCAAGGGCAAGAAAGGT